CGAGATAATATTTATTTTGATAAAAATAAAAATAACATAAACAGAAAACAGAAATGTTAACTTAATTTTCCCTTGAACTTAGATGTTATTTTCTACATTTATGAATATTGCAGATTGTAAATAAATAATAAATGAAAATATATGATATACCGGGTACTATAAGATTGAAATATAACGGATACAGTTTTCATACAATAGGTTACATAATATATGCACATTAAAATCACCTTCCAATAAGAACACTTAAATACAGACAGACACTCTCAATATTAACAACAACAAAATACAACTTCTTTAAGAATTGTTTTCAGATTTAACTCACCCAGTACTCGCCATGGAAGAAGTCTCAGGGTTAAGGAACACAGAGATACGAAGCTAACATTGTTACTTTACTGACGCTTGAGTTTAAGACTAGTAACGCAAATACACCACAAATTCAAAACTGTGTAGAATAATTACTCGATTTAAACTTAATGCTTAGCTGTTATAAACTATATATTTAACTGATATAAACTTGATACTTAGCTGATGTAAATTTAAAACTTACCTGACATAATCTTAAAGTTAGCTGATAGAAACTTAATACTTAGCTTACATCAACGTGATACTTAGCTGATATAAACTTGATACATAAACTTGAAACTTACCTGATATAAATGTAATATTTAGCTTATATAAACTTGAAACTTAGCTGATATAAACATGATACTTAGCTGACATACATACAATGCCCCTCACTCACCATTAAACACCATCATAACCACTGATTGAAGGAGAGTCAAGCTAGGGTGAGTCTAGTACCATAATATTAGTGCTTGTTATCCACTAAATTATACATGTAGAACTCCTCGCCGGTCAAGAATTTAGGTGAATGCATTTCCTGGGTATTTCGTTCATGTTTCTCCTTGTTATGCTGATGAACATAAGAACATAAGAACATAAGAATGGAGGAAACTGCAGCGGGCCTATTGGCCCATACTGGGCAGTCCCATTTACACCCAACCCCTATTGCTCATATCGGCATCCACTCAATGTTTGAAGCTATCCAGCGTATCCGAGTTAATGATGATATTTGGTAACTTTTTCCACTCATCCACTACTCTATTTCCAAACCAATGTTTACCTATTTCACACCTAAATCCAAATTTGTCAAATTTAAAACCATTGTTATGAGTTCGCTTCTGGTTAGATAGTTTGAGTACCTTTGTAGTGTCCCCTTTGTTTAGCCCTGACTTCCATTTATACACCTCCATCATGTCGCCCCTCGCTCTACATCTCTCGAGAGAGTGCAAATTAAGATGCTTTAACCTGTCTCTGTACTCAAGGTTCCTAATACCCGGGATTAGTCTTGTCATTCTCCTAACCACAAAGGTCAGGTGAGTA